AACTTGTTTCTGGGAAAAATGGGCGTTGAGTTCTCAGTCACAAAGACCAAAGAGACCATCCAGACTTTCATCAGCGACAGATGCAAAAGCAAATTTCTGTCATGATATGGGAGAACAGCAGAGCAAACGGCATGGGTGACTGGCATTTGTACAAAGGTACCATTGACATGGAGGCATATATTTGAATTGTACAGAGACATATACTGCCATCAAGATGACATCTTTCATGGGGAGTCCATGATTATTAGATCGAGACAATGCCAGGTCTCATTCTGCATGTGCTACAACAGTGTGGCTTCATAGACAGAGTGAATGTGCTGGATCAGTTCCCAGATCTGACTCCTATTGAAAATGTATGACCAGTCATGAAAAGGAGAATCAGACAACGACAATCACAGACTGCTGAGCATCTGAAGTCCTGTATGAAGCGAGATTGGACAAAAATTGTGCTTTCAAATCTTTAACAATTAGAATCCCCAATTCCCAAATGATAAAACATTGTAATTAAAAGGAAAGTTGATGTGACACAGTCTTAAACATGCCTCTGTCCCAACTTTTTTTGGAGTGTGTTGCAGCCATCAAAATCAAAATGTGTTTATATTTACAAAATAAAATTAAGTTGGCCAGTGAAAACATTGGAAATATTTTTCTTTGTACTTTAGTCAATTAAATAAAGATTAAAGAGAATGATCACATAACATATTCTTTATTTTAAGGCATTCCACACAACGTCCCAACTTTTCTGGAATTGGGAATTGGGGATGTGTGTGTGTGTGTGTGTGTGTGTGTATATATATATATATATATATATATATACACGAACACACACACAAACATTATGTACTTATTTTATGTCTGTCTCGCTGGTAAATTACCTGACAGGTAATAATAGATAACCAGCGTAGATGGTAGGTAAATTTAACAGGATAAGTTGTGCATCAGCACTAAGCTTATGAGTAATTTGCAGTATTAAAATGAAATTTATAAATAAATAAATGTTGGATACTTAAAACCTCAAACAGGTGTGTGTGTGTGTGTGTGTGTGTGTGTGTGTGTGTTCCATATTTTGGAAAAGAAGAAAAAAAATTCAACATAGTAATCTTGGTCTGTACTGTATATCATGTGGATTGTTTTGGAATTGTTCACTATGGCAGCACGTTACATGTGTACCAGGGGTGTCAAACATAATTCCTGGAGGGCCAGAGCCGTGCAGAGCTTAGATTCAACCCTAATTAAACACACCTGATCCAACTAATCAAGTCCTTCAGGCTTATTTGAAAACTACATGGTATGTGTGTTGGAGCAGGGTTGGAACACAACTCTGCAGGGCTCTGGCCCTCCAGGAGTTTGACACCCCTGACTGTGTACACTCTAGTGTACCTTACTTGCATTAATTAATTTTTTATACTAACCAACAACACGCACATAATCTGTTTATGATGCTTAGACATCCAAGAAGCTATGCAAGGAGTTGAAATCCACAGCAATATAATGATTCTCAGTGTTAAGTCGTTTGTTGCAGTCTATATTCTGGCTGAGTCTTTTCATCTACTTCCACTGGGAAACTGTTTAAAAATCAATCACTTGTTTTTTTTCTTTTGTTTTTTTTTTCTTAGTACAAATGGACATTTTGTGTAGCCTATGTGCTCTTAAGGTCTCTAAACTATATGGAATTAAAGGGGTGATATGACGTTGCTAAAAAGAACATTATGTTGTCTATTTGGTGTAATGCAATGTGTTTATGTGGTTAAAGGTTAAAAAAACACATTATTTTCCACATACTGTACATTATTGTTTCTCCTCTATGCCAATTTTACGAAGCTACGAGAATACTTTTTGTGCGCAAAAGAAAAAAAAAAGACTTTATTCAACAAGAATATCAGCTGGACGTAAACAGTGCATGGTGTTCTGTGTCAGCTGCTTCACGCCGGATCTGTTTCCTACATTGTTGTGATTTGATCTGAAGGAAAACAGCATATCTGTGATGCAGCTGACACGGAACAGCATATGCTGTTTACGTCCAGCTGATATTCTCCAAAATGGCGCTACAGGGTGATGCGGAGGAGACGAATTGTTGTTTTTTCTTTTGCGCACAAAAAGTATTCTGGTAGCTTCGTAAAATTACGGTTGAACCCCTGATGTCACATTGCTACGTCTCTGGACTTGGGAACATTTCAGTTGTATTGCTGTCTATGCAGGGTCAGACAGCTCTCATATTCCATCAAAAATATCTTAATTTGTGTTCCGAAGATGAACGAAGGTCTTACGCCTGTTTCACACATACTCCGTCTGCAGTGCGTGTACGGTCCATGTGCGTTACGTATGCGGTGCAGAAGCAGCACGGACTCATTGTGCTTTCACACAGGACGCGTTTGCAGTTCGCTCCTGATCCGCGGCTGTATACCCAGGTATACCACAAACACAACATTTATCCATTATTTTGATTTCAAATCCAAACGTAATTAGCCTATACTGAAAGTGCTTTTTTTCAGCATTGTGATCCTCTTTTATCACAGCACAGTTAACACAATCTTTCATAGATATATTCACGTTTAAACTCAATTAATATAAACAGCGTATTAAATGCATTTGGCTTTTAGATGTGTATATTAAGTTGCTCAAGCAAGTGGAAACACATTTGAATACAGCATATAGCTTTCTTGTGTTAGGTTATCACAAATATTTTAAATTAAAACTTACCACTGACAGAAACAGTCGGCTCTCGTGCCTTTTACATTTAAATCTTTATTACAAACAGTCCAGCGGGTCTTAAAGAACTTTGTTTTTCTACCTCCACAAGACACAAGTGCATATGTTGCCTTGTTTATCTAAAAGTGCACTTTTATTTGTTTTAAACCTAGCCAAAAAGCCCGTGAAACACAGTAGACTTTAATTATATCTATTTATTGTGAAATTACTACATTTCAGTCTCAATCCATGTTCATTTTTACCGCAAACAAAGCGCTGTCACTTGAATTCAGCGCGTGCAGCACAGCAAAAATAGACTCGGTGCGTAAACGATCGCTGCACTGCTGCACCTGGAACGCACTGACGGACCGCAACCGCGT